ATCCCTTTAAAGGAACCCTTTTAGATCCCTTTAAAGGAACCGTCTACCCGATATCGTGAACCCTTTAGGACCGCAAGTTAAAAGCCTTAACACCGGCACGTCGATCTCGTCATGTGAAGCTCTGGCACTGTTGTACATCAATACCATGCGGGCTCTTGAGGAGCAGCTTCTTGAGATTTTGGGGTTTGATAAGGTTGCTAAACCCTAATAACCCTAAACCCCTGAACCCTAAACCTTAAAAGGCTTCTGTAAGAGTTGTTACAAGGGATCGATGGGGTATCTCTAAGGCTTCTTATAGGTCTTCCACGAGGCTTCAACAAGCGTTGTTATTTGGGTTCGATAAAAGTTGTATAGGGATCTACAAGAATTGTTATAGAGTTCTGTAAAGCTGCTGTAAGGGTTGTTATTGCCGCTATAGGTCTTCATGATACTGGAATTCGGGAATATGTTGAATATGGAGTGCTTTGCTTTGGGGTGATTCTGATGAAAGCGCCACTACAGGTCCTTCTACCAAACAGTTACACGATCCCAACTATGAAGGACCGCATTATCCTCTTATAGTCCGTATTCTAGGATGCCCAGTAGTACCCTTATTCCGATTCCCTTTTTGTAGTCCTAGGTTCATTATAAAGTTACCCAATACCAAAAAGAGAGGCCTTTTTATTCTTAGGTTACTGGGTATCCTCGATGAAGGACCGCATTATCCTCTTATAGTCCGTATTGCAGTCAGAGTGGAAGATCCTCCAAACCCTTCTTAGAGGATCATGGGACTTAGTAAGTAGGTTATAATTGGGGTTATAAGCCCCCTAAGTGGGGTTATCCTAATTATAACCTACTTATAACCTTACTTACTAAGTCCCATGAGCCTTCAAGTTTTCGATGGCGCATGAACTTCGTTTGTTGCTTATCGGCCAAATCATAACGATGACCGAATATGAATAGGGCTTGTGAATATACTATACTGTACTATACACTATGAGCACTTTATGGGGATACTGTCACCAGCTGCCAACAACTACTACGACCCTTGTACGACCCCCCCCCCAAAAAAAAATCCAGCCTTTTTCAGAGTTCTAGTTGGGCTTGTAGTTTGTTTTGGGCGGGACTTGGTAAGTAAGCGGTTTTTCATCTTAAAACCTAGTAGTTTGGGCGTGGAGGTGAAAGGCTTGAGGGGTTCTGTGTGTTAGGATGTTTTTGCGCAAGGGACTGCTTCAGCAATCGTGTCAAGACAGGTCCATGGTGCGAAATCCTTGGTCACGGGGTTTCCGGGCCATTTCCGGGTTATGGTTTACAGGTTAAGGGTTTAAGCTTTAGGGTTGAGTAATCCTAAGCCTTAGGCCCAGGGTTCATTCAGAATTGGGCCTCCCAAGCAGACAGCAGGGCAAGGAAAGAAGCTGCCCTGGCAGGCTCGCAGAATTCAGATGTACGTGTCCTGCACGATTGAGGTTCGATTCGGTTTGGGGTTTAGGGTTCAGCGTAGATTGAGGTTCGATTCGGGGTATGCTGTCGGCTTCACGCCAGGCCTCCTGCAGCCACCTGCTTTCCAAAATCTTCGAAGTCTAATTTGCTACTCATTCCCGTTCCATGAGAGTCCTTATGTACACATAGTGTAAGACACAAACACACGCACCAAAAGCCTTTTGAACTTATTCAGACCCCATATCATGTGTGCCTATATGACAACAATTCCTTGGGGTTGGGCATGTTATTTTCATGCTGCGTTCATGCTCTGGGGTATACCCAACAGCTCCATTACCTTTATAGTAGATACTGAAGCCTTAAAGAGGTCCCTATACAGGCACTTTAAGGCCTAAGTACCTACTATATGGGCACGTGTAGCCTGAGGGAAAAGGGACTTCCAGACCATGAGCCGCGCACCTGAAACCCTGAACGGTGCAGCCTGAAGTTAAGTCCTGAACCCTACCTCAAAGCCCTAACAAATTTAAAAGAAAAGTTAAAAAAACCTCAAAGCCCCACGACGCAAGACTCCAAGAGTATCTTGAAGTTTAGGGGTTGAGGGGTTTAGGGGTTTAGGGTTTAGGGATCTTGAATTACATACCTGCACAAAGAAAGCTAAACGACCCTGTGTTTGGCCGATGGCTGCGAGGTCCGGCCTGAACGCTTGGACTCTGTGGCAACGCTTCCCTGCACAAGCCAGGGTTACCCGATTCTCAGATCTGCTCATGGGACGGATGTAGGCTCCATACTTATTACCCTAAACCCTAAACCATAGGAGGGGCCCCTACCCTGTAATAGTGGTATAATAGGAATATAATAGGAATATAATAGGGCCCTAATATAATCCTTATAGAGACTATTACAGGGTGGGGGCAGCTTCTAACTTATTACCCTAAACCCTAAACCCTATCTGTGTTCCGTCACGACGAAGAAAAGATAGGCCAAGCTACGTACAGACCTTGGAGAGGTGCAGTGCTAGGGTTTAGGGTTCACTGAGAGGTTCATGGGTAGTTATATAAGTCGAAATGTAAGCCCCCTTATATTTGAGATAAGTATAGTTTCCAAGAACTATAATTACCTTGCCTATATCCTTACTTATACTACCCACAAACCTCCAAGCAGGCTTTGAAGCTAGGGCTTGGGGCGCAGGATCTGGTGAGGTTTGCGGCTTTTTCTTCCCGCCTGTCTCGATGCAACTGCCAGGAATCAAACCCGAGCAAATTCCCGTAATAGAAGGATGCTTATTACAAAGATCTCTCATCAAGACACTTCCAAGTACAAGAAACCCATGTACAGACAGAGGGGGGTCGGATCCCCTCATAGTCCCTCTCTCATCATACGATTCCATACAAACCCAGCTCATAAGAAAGTGGTTCCCAGCTGCATAGTACCAACGATTTTAGGGTGTGGGGTTTTCTGGGTTGACAAATGCTAAGCGATTCACGCCCGAAAATCTTCAAACCCCAAAATCCCAAGTCATAGAAGCGTGCAGCTCCGAAGCACTGCTCCGTCCCTTGCTTCCAACCTTCGCCCTATGAGTGCACATGCACCGCTGACTAGGCACGGGAGTCCGAGAACTCTTCTGGGCCAGCATTACATGTAAGCTTCCAAACCCTAAAGCTAGGGTTTAGGGTTTAGGCGTACATGAAAGGGCTCCTTTCAGGGTTTCTGTCAGGAGTTCTCAGAGGGGTCTACAAGGGTGTCGTTAAGGACTCCTTGAGGGGTTCTATTGGGGTACAGAGTTTGAATAGGGTTTCATGCGCTTCACGGGAGTTGAAATAGGTTTCATGGGTTGGCGGTTTAGGCTCACACGCTATTTTAGGTTGAGTGGTCGCAGGGTTTAGGTTTTGGGGCTTTGCAGTGAATGCAGATCCCAAGCTCGGGTGATAATGTAGGAGCCTGATTAAGAAACCCTGGGTCTATAACCCCAAAATAGTAGGGTTCATATAAGGAACCCGAATAAAGGACCAAGGTTTCTTGGTGAGGTTCCTACATCATTATAGTACCCTTATGGACCCCTTATCGTAACCCTTCTAGACCCCTTCAAAGGAACCCTAGTAAAGGCCCAAGGTTTCTTAATCAGGTTCCTACACTATGGAACCGCTTACAGTACCCTTATAGATCCCTTATAGTATAATCCTTATAGGAACCCTAATCGTCGTTGCCAACCGGCATCAAAATCACACCCATTGTTTGTCCTGGCCCTATAAGTCGTAAAGATGACGAAATTCCATACGTAATCGCCTCAGCCTAATGAATTACCAGTACTATTGTGGGGGCTCCTTGTTATAATCATAGAACACTGAGCCCCCCCAAACCCTGGTCTAGCTATTAAGGCCCCTATATTAAAAGCCTCAGCAATGCTCAGAGGAGGAGTCTTTCCTCCCGCTGCGGACTTTTCCTTCAAGCCATGCACGGCCCCAATGTCTAGCGGCTTTACTTGGCATCAGAGAAAGAGCGTTCAGCTCCATCTCCGTTTCGCTGCCGCTCGAGGGGTGGGCCAGTATGGGGATGGTCGGCTTAAACGAAAGCTGAGTGAGACCTCGGTAAACCTCCTGTTCCGAATCAGTCACTCCTCCATCTGCCGGACCGCCCCTTGCTCTCCGCCCCGGGCCGGATGCTTTTATCCCCAACTTGGAAGAAGTCCGCGCACCTGTGCTGCTGTCTGCACGCTTCTCAGGTGCCCTTCCAACGAGACCAAAAGGGCCTGCGCACGTCCTCACGGCCACAGGAGTAGCGCTCCTGGGTCCTTCAGACCTTGAGCAGCAATAGTACGGACAGTGAGAAAAATGAAAGGTTTAGGGTTTAGGGTTTAGAAGCAACTCGCGAAATGAGCTTGTAAGAACGTAGCTTTGCTCACATCGAGAAGGCTGCTGCTGCTGCCGCTGCTCTTGCTGCTGCTTTTCTGCATGAATTGCTGCTGCCGCTGCTGATGCTGCTGCTGCGACTACGACTACGACTACGACGACGACTACTACCACTGCTACTACTGCCTACTGCTACTGCTACTTCTACTTCTACTGCTACTGCTACCGCTCCTGCTCCTGCTGGCGCTAGTGCGAGTGCTACTGCTACTGCTACTGCTACTGCTACGGGCTCTCCTACAACAAGCTGTGCGGTCGACATCCCAGCCTCAAACATATTCGCATATCGCCGTATGTCCTCGCTGTTTGCTATGCCGGGAAGATGCATCAGTCACTACCTGGCAGGCGTTCCTTCCAGCGCTAGAGCGCCTACCTCGCGCTGCGCTGGTCCCAAGTCCAGCGGTGTGCATCGAAGGACCATGGTTATGATGATAGGTATATACTCATGCTTATGGAGCGTGTTGTTGTGGCCGAAACAGTGCACATTGATGCGAGGGTTGACGTTACTCCCACAGTGGCGTCTGGAGCCTGTGGGCATGGCCCACAGGCGAAGCTTGGTGGGGAACAGAGGATCAAGTGGTCCACAGATCAGATGGATCCCACGAAAGCAGGTAAACGAACTTATCGAAGGGCGCACGCCCGTGCTGTCCGCATGGGCGGAACGCCTTACGGAGGCCGATGGAGGCCTCTATCATGGCTTGCACCCAGAGAGATTGTCCTCAGTATGTGGGCAAAAGGCCGGATGCTGGGAGGACAGCTTCAGCCTGGAAAATCATGAGCTGGAACTCGGGAGGCCTCACGACGGAAGTCTTCCAGGAACTTCGCACATTCGCAGCGATGGGGGAGTGTGACATAATCCTTGTGCAGGAGACGAAATGCCGACACGACAATGTCTGGTCGGACAAGGCATTTCACTTCATTCGTAGTCAAGGCATCGGTCTCAGTGACAAAGTTGCAGGCCTGTTGGTCATGCTTTCCACCAGGATTGTCCAGGCCGGGGACATTCAATTTCATGCAGTACACCAAGGGAGACTCTTGCATGTTAGATTCCCTAGGGGGCAGGCTCATGTGGACATCCTGAATTACTATCAATACGCTGTGAGTGATGCGTGATGCTGATGGAGTTTATGATAAACGGCATCAGCTTCTGGCGGGGCTGCCTCAGGGGAATACGCTGCTGTTGGGAGGAGATTTTAACAATCCCTTTGAGTGCCACTCTTCCTGTTGTGGACCTTGCGTGTTGCCCCACAATGCCTTACACTACAAGGACTTCAAAGATCATCAAAATGTCATCGACACCCTGCACCTGTGTGTACTCAACTCTTGGTGCCGACCTCAACACGGACAGCTCGCCACGTTCACCTTTGGGAATTATCCTCACAAATCGACTATCTTCTGATGAGGCAGTCAAAGACGACCCCGGAAGCGCGACGAGCCCAGGTCATTGCAAACTTCCCTGTGGCAGCATGGAGAGACGGGGCCAACCACCACCCAGTTGAGGCCTTTGTGTTGGCCCCCCGAGCTGTTCGAAGGCTACATCCTAAGGCCAATGATGGACATGTTCGATTTAATCAAGATGCGCTCCTGCAGGACATCAAGAAGGAACACCCATCCGAGGCGTTAGCTGGGTTACGCCAAATGGTTGCGCAGTCGATGACGAATGCGAATGACGCCAATGAGGTGTTGCTGCAGGCAGCCGCCAGACATTATCCACTTCCCCCTCGACCGGCTCAGCCTCCGACTCAGCCTGAACAGTTGGCGATTTTTGCTAAACACATGTGGGCTATTTTTCGACAAATGACGGCACAGCGAAAAACAGCCCGAGCGGTCTTCATGGCCTGGAAGCTGTGGGCACAATTTCAACAGGCGCATAGCATACATAAACAGCGTGCCAAAGCACGAACAAAAGAACGTCGAGACGAGTTGCTCACACAAGCACAGGAAGCTGCCCGACAAGGAAACGCTCACGGGCTCTGGCGAGTGGTGAAGCAACTGGCGCCCAAGGCCCCGAGAAAGAAATTGCAACTCCAACGTGACGGTCGCATGCTCAGTACCGTGGAGGAACTTGACTGGATACTCCAGGCCTTTGGAACACGGTACGGGGAGGGCGAAGAGCTCGAGACTGTCCAATTGCACGGCCAGGCCGCACCGGAACCCATTGCCAATGTTGCGGACCTTCCTTGTATACTTGGGCACCTCAACCTGCGCAAGGCAGTTCCACGAGGCACGGCGCCTACGGTGTTGTGGAAAGCGTGTAACTGGCAGGTGGCGACCTCAGTAACGGATGGCATTAACCTGAACTGGATGCAATCACCACCACATATTGAGCAACACTGGTTGGATGCCACGGTGTTTTTGCTCCCCAAGGCGCATGGTCGCATGAAAACCCCACTGGATTTACGACCCATTGGACTGCAGGACCCATTGGGCAAGAGAGTGATGACCCTGCTATTGCGACAGGCTCGTGATGAAATCGTTGCACTTGTTCATCGTTTTCCACAGACAGCATACATTCCGGGAAGAGGAACCAGCACGGCTCTGAGGCAGGTCTTTCGACACTGCCGGGATATCCGAAACTGGAGCGTGGGCAGTCGCCTCACAGTACATCAGAGCCTGGACCTTCGGCTGCATTCGATCCCATGAGGTGGCAACACCTGAAGGACGCGTTAAGCAGAGACCCCGGTATATTTGCAAGACATCCTGCTCACCTGGCTAGTCCAGGTTCGCAATGTTTTCCACCGTCGAGATCAATCTGGAATGGTGACCCCGGAATGGGGACTGAGACAAGGATGTGTTGCGTCGCCGTTGTTGTGGGCTGCTTTTACTGCTCTCATCAGCTTGACCATGGAGGACAAGCTGGGACAAGGTTGGGTGGCCGAGCACCCCACCTTGTATGCAGATGATAATCACTTACGGTGGCAGCTCCTGTCCTTTTCAGAGTTCGAGCGCACTATGCGGGAAGTTCGAGTGGCTGTGTGATAGAACTCTTCCACTTGAAGATCAACATGGAGAAGACCAAAGCCATCCTGAAGGTGGTCGGCTCAATGCAGTCTCGGGTCCGTAAGGATCATGTACGGGTTCATGGACAGGACAAACAGAAGCGACTGCTGCTCTCTCCGCGAGACCCTGCACAGTGGCCACCGTTGGTAACTCAGACGGAGTACCTCGGATTGATTGTCTCGTATGATGCTGTTGAACTTCAGTCGCTACGCCATCGGGTTGCCAAAGCCAACAGCCGTCGGTGGGCCATGGCCTCCATACTCCACTCCAAGAGGCTCAATGTGGGCTATAAATTGCAATTCTGGCGAAGCTGTGTTCTTAGCGTTATGACATACGGACTACATTGCTGTGGTCTGACAGGAGATCATGCACAAGAAGCACAAAGGGCACAAATGAGGCAGGTCCGGGCGATTGTAAACAACCAAGCACACCTCACTGGAGACACTCATGAACAAATCATGCTTCGCTACAACATCCCACATTTTGCAGATTTACTACATCGAGCACATGAGCGTGAAATGGAGGCGGCGGTCCACAACCCAGACTGGATGTGAAATGATGACTGGAGCACATACGTCACGCAACAACTTGCCACTTACACGGAAACTCAGGTGCCGGATGAGGAGCATGAAATATGGTCGTACCCAAAATGCGATGCTTCCTTTGTCTCAGCTGCAGCTTTGAAGACGCATGCTAGACGCACCCATGGAACTAGGGGTTCCCACATGCAAGTTCTGCCACAAGAAGTCTTCGAGGTGGCAAACGCTGGCACAACACATTGATCAATACAGTTGTCCTTCGCTCGTTGAGCAGTTGGAGCCGGTGCAGAAAGGAGCGATCACGCAACACTTACCTACTTCGGCTGTGCATCCCGACGGAACCGCCCGCACTCTGTGTCAACTTGAAGAAGTGGTCCAAGCTTCCAGCAAAGGTATCAATGCTTTCCTCCCGCTGAAGCATGTAACATCTTCGTTAAGACAGACTTGCGGGCTATGTGGACAATGGTGTACCTCACATCGCACTGTCAAACGACATTATCAATACTCACATGCCGAGCTGCTGCAGACATTAGGGCCACAGAAGATTCTCAATTTGGTGTTGCGAACGGCCACAGCCTGTTCCACCTGCCTCTACTGTGACGCACGCTGCCGTGATTGGCGTGAGCACCTCAGGAAGTGCACGGTCGCTTGGCAGTGCGCCGTACTGGTTCTACATCATCAGGTCGGACAAGATGTTTGCGGACCCAGCCATGAACGAATTCTTTGGCGAGGTGCTGCAGGAACCGACGACCAAGCGCAGGCGTCCGGAGGAGAACAAAGAGCACAGGCAGTGCGGCGCTCAGAAGCCAAAAGGGGGCAAAGCAGAGGAATTGATCAATACTTTGGCTCGGCTGGCAGTGCGACAGGAAGAAGAATTCAGGTCCTGAAGCAGGACCACTCCTTCATGCTGTTGATGCGTCCGGGGAAAGACACGGCGCTGACCTTTCTGTATCAGACTGCAACTCTGTACAAAAAGAAGCAGGAGGAGTCTCCCACTTGGGGGGCGGAGTTCCAACCGCTCAGAGTGGTGCTCTCTTTGGCCTTGTTCAGGGAGCTCGCAAATCGCATTGCGGCAGTGGAAGCGGACGAGACCAAAACAAAGGAGGCCGTGGATCTAGGGTGGATGACCAAGGACCTACAGTGGAAATTTCAGGCTTGGAATCCTCAACTCAAGCATCTGCAGGAGGACACCTCTCGGGCCCCTCTCCCGACTGTAGAACTCAAGCGAATGTTGGAGAAGGCGGCGACAAAACGGATATGGTCACCAGGTTCTGTTGCACGAGGAAACTCACGGAGACCATGGAGTCACAGGCGTCGTTCTACTTCGACCTGTCATGTCGCAACCGCGGTCAGGAGGCCTGGGAAGTGATGAGCCAGTTGCAGGGATGCTGCGCTTTACAGCTGATCGGTCTGGCGTACAAGCGTGCCAGGCTCCGTCGGGGGCCGGTGGCGCAGAAGCTACGGGATCTTCTGCGGGAGCGTTGAGGCTTGCATTGGGGAATCAGCAACAGAATGCTTGCTACATGAACAGTTTCGCACAGTCCCTTCTGTGGACCACTGCAGGGGAGGAGCAGAACCTCCAATCCTTGGGGAGCAGCGCTCAATTCTTCAAGCGGTTGCAGACGGCTGGTTCATCAAACATCAAGCATCTCACCAAGGATCTCATGTGGAGGGCTCTGATTTCAGGCTGGTCGCATGATAACAGACAACATGACGTGGCCGAATTTACTTCATTCTTCTGCAAAAGACACAAGATCTCATTGGTGGCAGGCGAGTGGGAAGCACGGACCAATGTCTTTGGGGTGGGGCAACCTGGCGATGCGGGGTCAACCACTCAGCCTCTCCTCCTACATCTCCCGGAAGTGCCGCCGGGTTTGGCTTCATCTACTCTGAAGGTGCAAACGCTGGTTGATCAGTGGTATGCTCAAGAGGCGATATATGCTTTTGTGGCGCCACCCTCAGTTCTTCTGTTACAATTGGGAAGATTTCGCGCCACTCAAGGCAAAATCCAGAAACTGCATAACCACATCGAAGTTGATGAGGCCATTTGGGTTCCGATGTTCGTGGATGCCAATTTCCAGGTGCGGCCAGTTCACTATGAGTGCACGGCTGCCGTTTGTCATCATGGAAGTCACCCACAAACGGGGCACTATCAGGCAATTCTTCATTCGACGGATGGCATGTGGAGCTGCGATGACAACCGTAGTCCCGTGCCATGTGCAAAGGCTCCGGAGTGGTACTCTGACACCTGTTACTTACTCCAGTACAGACGAGCTGCTGATCCGACCATCAATTCCACTACTCTTGGTTCTGATAGTTCGTATTGCTTTCCTATTCGGCATGCTTAAGGTTCTTCGGGACGGTGTCGGATGGTAGGCAACTGAGGCAACCATACGGGTTGCGCAGCTTCGAGCTGCCGGGCAAAGCCTGCTCGCCTCTCTTTCTGTCGCTAGGCGGACCTGGACGCCCCGCTGCGTCTGAAGTCTGAAGTCTGCTACTGCTACTGCTACTGCTGCTACTGCTACTGCTACTACTACTACTACTACTACTACTACTACTACCAGGTATTAGTTCTACTGCTATCTCTACGTCTACTTCTACCTCTACCACGACGGCCACTACGACTATTTTGCAGCTTCAGCAACTTTTCGTCGTTGTCCCACCAAAGGTGTAGACATACTGGATCTTCCATGTAGGACATGCACGTGGCCCTGAATTTGGAGACGTACATCTTTGCATGTTCGGAGGGCGCAGAGAGATGCCCCAAGCTACAGGCTGCCTTGGCCGGGGTAGTCCTTCCGAGAACGAGCCTGATACCCCTCAATCAAGCCATGTTCCTTGAAATCCGAGCCCATCACTGAGGACAAGAGGTCTATTGCTTGATAGAGGGGTGATCAGGCTCTCTTGGTACCCCAGCCTTTTCGGGTTCGCATCTTGTCGGAATACGTTACGTGCGACGAACAGTTTGAATCTTTGCCATCGTGGCGCCGCAGCGCAGAGCGTCTCGCTCACCCTGCGGCGCCAAAGGCCTGTGAGTTGATCCGTCGAGGCTCCCCGGAGAAGGTGGTGTTTAGGGTTCAGGGTTTTTGGGCTATTTGGAGTTGTACACAAAACCTAAACTCCTGTGCTTATCGATGAAGAACCATCGCAGAACAGGGCTCGAACGGTGTGGTCCTGCCTTGCTTGAGGTTTCGTTCCCTGAGATGTATTTCTAAATTCAGGAAATAGCTGAAAGTATGCAAGTATACTCTCCGGTACTTGCCTTCAAGGGAGCAACAATGAACATTATCCTCAACATTCGCCCAGACGCAACCTCAACCCTACATCCTAAGCCCTACTTGGATGAGGATGTCCATGCGTGTTTATTACAAGTAGGGTTATAAGTCCCCGAATATGGGGTTATAAGTATAGTTACCCTACTCATAATTCTACTTATAACCACCCATGAACCTCCATGCAGACCATCGAGCTCCTCAATCTTTACATCACGCGTTTAACCGAAGTCCTCCGCAACATCATCCGAACACCGAAGCCGTAAACTGAGCCTCGATTAAACCCCGAACCATCACCCAGCCCCTAAATCCTCAACCCCCAAAGGCCCAACATCTAAACGCCCAAAAACTGAGCCATCCTAAACCATCCTGAACCCCAAACCCCAAGCCGCAAGTCAGGAAGGTTGAGTTCAGAGGTTTCCAAATCCCTCAAGTCTATCATTGAATCCTAAGAAGGATCCCACTCTGTGATGGAAGGTTTCGGGTTAAGGGTTGCGGGTTTGAGTCTATGGTTAACCCTCAGCCCTCGGCGCAATCCCTCCAGTCGCTTGGGACCCTAAACCTCCGCAAAATCGTAAACCCTCGAGACAGCAACACCAGAGGGAGACCTCGACGGATGTGATGGTAGGTTCAGGTCCTTGTCTCGGGTTCCCTGTCATAATTCTAGTATAATGGGCCCCCGAAACCCTATTCGAATAGTTAAGGCCGCTATAGTAGGTTCAGGTCCTTGTCTCGGGTTGCTCGCGATTTAGGGTTTAGGGTGTTGTACGCTCGCGATTTTGGGTTTAGGGTTTACGGTAGTCTGAGCCATTAGTATGTAGTCGTTTTCTCTCGGGTTCTCTGAGATCACCCCCCGATAACTACCATGCAAAGCCTCAGTTTCATGATTCGTTCTTCTCAGTTCACCTGGGTGGTTGTCAAAATTAGGGCCCCTTTTTGGGTACCCTAAATATTAGGTGCCGTATTATATTAAGGACCCAAAAAGGGACCCTAACTTTGACAACCATCCAGATGTAGGGCTTCGTGCTTGAAATTCTTACCGCAGCTCTTGCGCTGCAAAGCTGTGGGTTTTGTTGGGCATCATCCCAGGAGGGGGTCTCCGGTTATTCTGACCCACCTTACACCCCGAATCTCTTACACCTTAGAAGCTGCCCCCACCCTGTAATAGTGACTATAAAAGGATTATGTATATTAGGGCCCTATTATATTCCTATTATACCACTATTACAGGGTGGGGGCCCCTTCGAACTTACACCCCAAGTTTCAGACCTATGCATTCGGGCCACTTTCGAACTGTCGGGCTTCCAGATATGGTGGGCATCCGAGACGCGTGAGTATTTTTCGAACGGCGTGCGTGCCCTTGGATGTACAACTCGACCCTGCATTCACCCAGAGACTTACACTTGATATCGACGTAGATACCCTCAGCCGAACAGCTGGTAACCACAACCCTGTCCTATGTCACTTTCGTGAGGTGCATCCTAAACCCTAAACCCTAAAAGCCCTAAACCCTAAAAGCCCTAAACCCTAAACCCTAAACGCTAAAAGCCCTAAATGACGACAGTGGTCCTCACCCTAAACCCAAACCTTTAGCCCTAAGCCCCAAACCCCTGTTTCATCATTTAGGATATGGCTTTGGGGGCTGTCTTGATCCACAGAAATCTGACCGCCTGATAACCGCGAGGAAAACCGGCAGTCGGAAATTAAGGTTCATAGTTTAGGGCTTAGGGTTATTCAGGAGTTTGGTTCTATGAGGCTTAGCTTTTTGGTGCTATGTCTTGAAATTGTCGGGTTCGGGCTTTGGAGGTTTAGTGTTTTCTTCGCCCTTTTGCTGGTAGGACCCTAAGAGAACCTCTCGGAAATCCCTGTGCGGAACATTTCGAGAATCTCCATAGAAGCTCTGTCGAACCCCTCCCTTCCGCAACATCTGAATGCGCCTTGATTTTGGCGGCCAGGGCGTTGGAGTAGATTCGGGACTGTGGGACAAAGCGAGGGCAAGCGGATGTTGTTGTTGCTTCATAAACTGTTGGCATACGGGATCTAGTAGGCTTTAAGCTACCCGCAATACTGACAATGCCCCAACGGTGGTGTCCTGCAACAAAGCATCCGTCGCAGCCTCGCTGCCAGAAGATACCGTAAACCGCGCACTTGAAGTCCTCAACCCGAAACTCCAAACCCCAAGCTCTAAACGCTAACCCCTAAACGCTAAACCCTAAACTCTAAGCCCCTAAACTCTAAACCCTGAACTTTACTCCCGAAGCCTTCTACCTGCAGCCAGAAGGGGGTGCATGGGCATACCTGCGGTCATCCGAGTGTTATCCTAGCAGTCTGCCAGGCATGGAAACCTTACCACGGTTCCGGGCTATTCTTAGATGGTCTGTAGGGTTCCTTTAAAGGGATCCATAGGGGTTCCTTTAAAGGGATCTATAGGGGTTCCTTTAAAGGGATCTATAAGGGGTTCCTTTAAGGGATCAAACTTAGACCATTCTTAGATCCCTGGCTCTTCCAGGGCTCTGGGTTTTGGGCTTATAGGGTTTCGGTTTGGTTTAGGGTTTAGGGTTGTTGTCTCCTGTTGGCACCTGACCTTTCTTGAGAACTTACATAAACGACCCAGCCAGTAAACTCCTTGGGTTCTTATAGTTAAGTAGGACTCGGAAAGTTTAACACGTTTTTCTGTGGCTTATTGGGGGAGTAAGCATTCCAAGCGCGTACTATAGGGGCCTTAATCGTTACCTATAGTATTTTGAGGGGCTCCTTATTATGACTGTAGTATTGTTTATCCCAAAACCCTATTCCAATGATAAAGGCTCGTAAAGTAGAGTTTAGAACCATGAAGGCCGTCATTCGTTAAGGTTCAATGTTTTTTCCTGAGTGGGGACTTAGTTGTTTTTTGTTATTTAGCCACTTAGCTCTGCAGAGAGCCCCGTGTCCCTGAACCGCAGAGGCCTAAACCCTCAACCCAGCACCCTCAACGTCCTAAACGCTAGACCAGCGAATTTTAGAGTCTCCGAGTTCGCTGGGGATTGTGTTACGGGCATGGCTCGTCGGCGGCTCGGCGAAAAGTCTCAGGTTCAGGGTTCAAAAAACAATAGAAATCCGATGAACGCTTCTAAGGACGGTTCAATTTGAAGGCTTGGGGTGTAGGTGAAACACACCATAAAACTCTATAATAACAGTTTAGGTTTCGGACTACAGATGCCTGGCAGAAATCGC